TTATAGAATTAAATGATGAAGTCCATCGTGATTCAGCTTATTCAAGTAATCAAGAACGAATTAACATGCAACAATTACATTATGAATCATTATCAGAATGCTATTCTGGATATTCATTTATTCAAAGCGATTTTTTAACTCCAAATATTTCATCATTACAATCAACAACAGATGAAGCTTATGAATCTGAACCAACAACAAGGACTTCATCAGTAAAAATAACAAAACATATTCATCCTAATCTTGAACATGAATTTGAATATCCATCACCACCACCACCTGTACCTGATCGACGTCTTAAACCAGATTATTTAAAATCACCAACAATAAAATCTCGATTAATTCAACAAGATAATATTGATACAGTTGAATATAGTATTATTCAAAAACCAAAATTATTACCATTAACATCTATTCAACAATTAGTTATTTCAACATCAAATAATTCAAATTTATCATCAACACAAATAATGAATAGTCGACATTATTGTGGTTCAATACCTGTATCAAATAAATTAATTCAATCGTGTATAGATACAATAACAATAAAATCAAAAGAGGATTTAAATGATAAAATAAAAGATAAACGAAATAGTCGAGTACTTAATTGTTTACATTCATCAAAAATTGATGATAACAATAATAATAATAATAATTATAAACGAAATACAATTCCAAAATCACCACCATCATCATTGAATAAAATGAAAACGAAAAAACGAAAATTAATTACAGATTTTGATGAAGCAACTAATGGTTTAGCTATACTTTTACCAGCTTCAAAAGATAATTTGAATGATTTAACAAATAAACAAAATTCGAATAGGTTAGTCTATCTTATGAATTATTTGAATTTATCAAATAAGTTAAATTGTTTGTTATCTTCTTTTTAAGAACATCAACACCATTAACAACGAAACGAGTCAATGGTATGATAAAAGATCAACGTGTAATAGATAATGTATGTTATTCTTTAAATTTATTTTATTAAAAACAAAAAATATATATTATTTTCTTTAAGGTTAAATCAGATCGATCTGTATTTTATGAAACATCAGTCTAGACATTTTTGTTTTTTCTTTATTTCTCGTACAATATATGTAATCCTAGGAACGTGATTTCATGTTTTTAAATATCACTATGTGATATACAAAAACATTTAATATATTCACTTCTCTAGTAATCAATCCTGTGTCGGCTTTTTTTTGTAGATGATTTTCTTTTTAATGATATTTTCTTTGTTTTTTTTTCTATGGAGTGTTTATGTTTTTTTTTTCTTTTCTTTTCTTTTCTTTTATATAGCATTCAGTAGAATTGTGCACTATTGATGATCAAATCGAATGTTTATTAAAGTTTCTTTATGAATAACTAAATTCATTTTATTATATTATATGAACATGATTTGATTTCAAATCTATAATCTTAAATACTCAATATAAGATAATAAACTGTGATATAAGTCATTATAAAACAATATAGTTATCAGATAAAAAATATTCAATAATTTTATTGTCTAATCTTTATTAGAAAAAGTAATATTTGAGTTTCAACAGTTGCCGCATGGTTTACAGTAAAATGAAGAATAAGTTCCAGGATATCTGCGCCTACATTAGTCTTAAACAAAGGTCTAATTATTTATTCCTTAGTCCCAGTTCCGCCGAGACCACGACCAGGTTGCCCATATCTAATTGATTTTTTTGAAAAATTTATTGTTTTTGAATTAATGTCGATGTCACTTAGTTTTCATTCTAATCCAAATAATTCGTTCAATTTTTGTGAAACACGATCTGAAAGGAGTGTTGAAGTGTATAGAGTAGAAGTTTTGGATCCAGTCCCCCCCCCCTCCCCGCTCCACAGTCCGTGACAGAGAAAACCTAGTATCCATTACAGAAACAGATAGACCTGTTCTTCTATGAAGTATCACTAAATGTCGCTAGAATTTCATGGAAATATGTCAACTGCTTCCATTTTGCAGCTCCAGAGGAATTACCCAAGAGATTCAATCCGACCTGTGGATCCTACCGGAAACCGATTGGATCCGAAACGGATTGCATCGGAATCCGACGCCTTCCGTTAAAACCGATCGGATCCGAACCAGTTTGCGTCGGATTCCTTGCACAGGATTCCGGACCGGATTACGTCGGAAAATATCCGTTCGACGGATTCAAACGGATTTCAAATCCATCCGACAGAATCTGATCGAGCGGCTTTCCTTGGTTTGAATCTCTTGGGTGCCTTTTGGAGAAATCGAGATACCCAAGAGATTGAATCCGACCTGTGGATCTTACTGGCAACCATCGGATCCGAAACGGATTGCATCGGAATCCGACGTCTTCCGTTAAAAACCGATCGGATCCGCTCCAGTTTGCGTCGGAATCCTGTGCAAAGGAATCCAGATCGCATTACGTCTGAAACGTCGGATTCAAACGGATTTGAAATCCATCCGACAGAATCCGACCGAGCGGCTTTGCCTTGGGTAATAAACAATGATTTATTAACGGATCCGAAGATATCCAAGAAAATATATTTGTGTGACTAGTAACAACAGTTGCATCGTGTTTCACATTTTAATCCTCCGCAGGGATTGCGCTAACAGCTTTTTACTCGAAAACTAAGCTCATGTCATAAATTTCTTCATACGTACAGTAATGGATCCATAGATAATGTGTTCTTAACCGTAATACACATGAGACGAATGATGGACAGTAAAATACATGTATGTTCACATTAGAAAGATTATATTAGAAGGTGTTTAGTAATAGAGTATTTCGTTTGAAAATAATCTTTTTTTCTAATTGTAAATATAATCTCGCATTTTTGGTGCAGTAGATGTGTACGCTTATTTTGCATGTACGATTGAAAGAACTGTCAATTATATATATATGTAGCCTTTATTTATGCACTAAGGGAAAATAGATAATAATAATAATAAT